GGGCACCTCTGGCAGCTGCTCGGTCAGCAGAGGGAGCGTGGCTTGTCCAGTTGCGATCTGCTCCTGGAGCGGCAGGGGGGGCTCTCGCGTCGACGGCGATTCGGCCACAGTGTTGCAGCCATATAGCACCTCAAAGCGGGTTAGGCCCACGCGCTCAGGTTCCCCTCGGCTGGGGAAGAGCCTTCGCCCATGGCGGAGTGATCAGGGGAGAGGGAGGTGAGTGGGGCTCCCTGGCGCGAAAAGCTCCTTGGGGGCCCTTCCGCGTGCCGGGGCGCGGCTGCCGCGCGACCGTTGATGGCGACGCGCAGGTTGGCGGTGGTTTCACTGGCAAGCCCCCCGAGCCTCGCGAGAGAGTCGGCGGCGGGGCTTGGCTCGCCGGGCCGCCCTGCCGGGAGGGGGCTGCGCGGGCCGAGTGCCTCCGCCCCCGAAGCCCGGGGCGCGCCCGGCCGCCGCCTCCGTCCGGGGGCGAATGGGTTCGTTTTCGGGAATCTAAACCCGCGTTGCCCCGGGCCCGAGTTGCCCCGGATAACTCGGGCGCCCGACATGATCTGCAGGTCCAGCAGGCGTCGGAGGAGGCAAAGGAGCCCCCGTCCAGCGGAATATGGGGGGGGGGGGGGGGCGGAAGGGCCAATCCCCGACGGCGGCGAGTTCTTCGCCGCTGCGCGCGCTGAAGTCGGGCATTGCGGGCGCGCCCCCTGCGCGGCTGCGAGCCCGAGAGAGGGTGGCGTCGATGTCCGGGGTCTGCGCGAAGCCGTGTTCATTATCTTCAGGGAGCCTGCCCTTGAGGAGCTCTGAAGTGCGGTCGTCCCTTTCGAGAGGGTATATGCTGTCATTGTTGAGGTTGGGCAAGGGGTCGATGCTTGAGTCGTCGCGTGTAGGACGACCGCCGAGGTTGCGCCTCTCCGCGGCTTGACAAGCAGCGTCGATGACGATCCTGGCCTGGCCTCTGATCCGGGGAGGGCGCGCCTTCGCGCGGCCCGGCGCGCTGCGTCGCTGCGGCAGTCCCAAGGGCCGCGTAGTGCAGGGCGAGCAGTGGCCATGGGGTTGGCATCAATCCGCCGCGACTGACCAGGCGATCGCAGTCTTAAAGGGTCCAGGCGGCGAAGATGCGGTCGACGATGGCGGGGCTGCCGAGCGGCCAATACATGGGGGAACTGACGTGCCCGCGGTCGGCCTGGCCGGGGGCCACGCCGCCAGGCGCGGAGTGAAGAGGGCGCTGGAAGATGAGGGCGTGCTCTAAAACCTCGCAGTGAACCCTGCTGTGTCCGTCGGATCGAGAAAGCCACGGACTGGCTCTGCTTTGACTCGTGGGCACGCCGGGCCTCGCCGCGGCGAGACCCGCGCCCTGCTCCTGCATCGGTTCGCCGTCGCCCGAAGTAGCCCGCTGGGTCTGCTCCGCTTCCGAGGAGGGCAAAGGGGGGGAGGGGCGGAAGTGGGGTGAGAGAATGGGGGTCCAGGAGGGCCTGGGATTGGTCCCTGGCGATCGCGCTCGCCCTGTCCGGGGCCCGATCTGGGGTCGGGATCGATCGCGAGTTCGACGCTCGACGCTCGACGCTCGACGCGCGCGCGCATGCGCGTCCACGCCCGCGCGCGCGCGCGAACGCACGCGCGCGCGCGCACCTGCGCACGCGCGCGCGCGCACGCACGCGCACGCGCGCGCGCACGCGCACGCGCGCACGCACACGCAAACGCTCGCTCACACGCGCGCGCGTTCACGCTCACACGCACGCGCGCACACCTACGCGCACACGCACACGCACACGCACGCGCACATGCACACGCACACGCACACACACACACGCACGCACACGCACGCGCGCACACGCGCACGCACGCGCGCACGCACGCGCGCACGCGCCAACGCGCCCACGCGCACGCGCGCGCGCTCACGCACGCGCTCACGCACGCGCACACGCACGCGCACGAGCACATGCGTAATTACACGCACACGCGCGCACGCGCACGCGCGCACACGCACACACGCGCACGCGCACGCACGCGCCCACACGCACCCACGCACACACACACGCGCACACGCAGGCGCACGCGCACAGCACGCGCACGCGCACACGCACACGCGCACGCACGCGCAGACGCACACGCGCACGCTCACGCGCGCGCAGCCACGCGCAGATACACACGCACACGCACACGCAAACGCAGACGCAATCGCAGACGCGCACGCGCACACGCAAGCACGCGCACGCACGCGCGCACACGCGCTTGCACACGCACGCGCGCACGCACACGCACGCGCATACGCACATGCGCACACGCGCACGCGCGCACAAACGCGCGCGCGCGCACACGCGCGCACGCGCGCACACGCGCGCGCGCACGCGCACGCACGCGCGCACGCGCGCGCGCACGCACGCACAGGCGCGCGCATGCGCACTCGCGAGCACGCGCACGTGCGCGCACGCGCGCGCATACGCGCACGCGCGCACACTCGCGCACACTCGCGCACGCGCACACACGCACACGTGCACACGCGCATTCGCGCGCAAACGCACACGCACACGCGCATTCACGCGCGCACACGCGCAAACGCGCACACACGTACACCCACACACTCGCACGCATGCGCACACGCACGCACGCACAAACGCACGCACGCACACAAGCACCCACGCACACACGCACGCACGCGCACACGCACACGCACGCGCACACGCACACTCACGCGCATACGCACATGCGCACACGCGCACACACGCACAAACGCGCGCACGCGCACACGCGCGCGCACGCGCGCACACGCGCGCGCGCACGCGCACGCACGCGCGCGCGCGCACTCACGCACAGGCGCGCACATGCGCACTCGCGAGCACGCGCACGTGCGCGCACGCGCGTACACGCGCACGCGCACCCACGCGCGCACGCGCACACACGTACACGCGCACTCGCGCACACGCGCATTCACGCGCAAACGCACACGCGCACGCGCATTCACACGCACACACGCGCAAACGCGCACACGCGTACATCCACACACTCGCACGCATGCACAAACGCACGCACGCACAAACGCACGCACGCACACAAGCACCCACGCGCACACGCACACACGCGCACACGCGCACGCACGCACACACGCACACACGCACGCACGCAAACGCGCACACGCGCAAACCTGCACACACGCACACACACACACACGCACGCACGCA